ACCAGAGCAGAATTAAATGGCATGGAGACTAAAATGGCAATTCAGAGTATCAATACATCTAGGAGCTGGTTCTTTGAAAAGATAAACAAAATTGACAAACCTTTAAGCAGACTCATCAAGAGAAAAAGAGAGAGGACCCAAATAAACAAAATCAGAAATGAAAGAGGAAAGTTTACAACTGATACCACAGAGATACAATGGATTGTAAGAAATTACTATGAACAAGTATGTGCCAAGAAATTTGGAAACCAGGGCAAAATGGACAAATTTCTAGAAAAATACAATCTCCCAGAACTGAATGAAGAAGAAGCAGAAAGCCTGAACAGACCAATAACAGCTGATGAAGTCAAAGCAGTAATCAAAAAACTCCCAGCACACAAAAGCCCTAGACCAAATGTTTTCACAAGAGAATTTTACAAAATTTTTAAGGAAGAGCTAACCCCTATTCTTCTCAGAATATTCCAAAAAATCCAAGAAGAGGGAAGACTACCAAACTCTCTTTATGAAGCCAGCATCATCCTAATTCTAAAACCAGATAAAGACACAACAAAGAAAGAAAACTACAGGCCAACCTCACTGATGAACATAGACGGTAAAATCCTCAACAAAATATTGGCGAACAACATCCAGCAATACATTAAAAAGATCATACACCACAATCAAGTGGGATTCATCCCAGGGATGCAAGGATGGTACAATATTCACAAATCAATAAATTTAATACATCATGTAAACAAAACAAAAGACAAAAATCACAAGATCATATCAATAGATGCAGAAAAAGCATTTGATAAGTACAACACGCATTTATGATAAAAACACTCAGCAAAGTGGGAATAGAAGGAGCATTCCCCAACATAATGAAGGCCATAAATGAGAGACCTACAGTGAACATCATACTTAATGGGCAAAAACTAAAATCTTTCCCACTAAGATCAGGAACAAGACAAGGATGCCTGCTTTCACCACTTCTATTCAACATAGTATTGGAAGTCCTAGCCACGGCAATCAGATAAGAAAAAGAAATAAAAGGCATTCAGCCCTGGTTGGTGTGGCTTAGTGGATTGAGTGTCAGTCTGTGAATAAAATGGTCACTTGTTTGATTCCCAGTCAGGACACATGACTGGGTTATGGGCCAGGTCTGCAGTAGGAGACACTCAAGAGGCAAACATACATTGATATTACTCTCCCTCTCTTTCTCTTTCCCTTCCCCTCTCTAAAAATAAATAAAATCTTTTTTAAAAAGGCATCCAAATTGGAAAGGAGGAAGTGAAACTGTCACTGTTTTCAGATGATGTGATTGTGCACATAGAAAACCCTATAGATTCCACCAAAAAACTAATCGACCTAATAAGTGAATTTGGCAAAACAGCAGGGTTCAAAGTCAATATTCAGAAATCAAATATATTTTTATACACAAACTATGAAAGATCAGAATCAGAAATTGCATTTGCTATAGCAACAAGAAAAATAGAGTACCTAGAAATACATCTGACCAAGGAGGTAAAATATCTGTACTCAGAAAACTACACAAACTGAAGAAAGAAATTAAGAAGACATAAATAAATAGAAGCATATACTGTGTTCATGGATTGGAAAAATTAACATCATCAAAATGTCCATATTACCCAAAGCAATTTATATATTCAATACAATCCCTATTAAAATATCAATGACCTATTTCACAGATATAGAACAAACATTTCAAAGATATATATAAACTGTAAATGACCCCAAATAGCTGTGGCAATTTTGAGAAAGAAGAACAAAGTAGGAGGGATCACAATACCTGATATCAAACTGTATTACAAGGCCACTGTAATCAAAACAGCCTGGTACTGGCACAAGAACAGACACATAGACAAATGGAACAGAATAGAGAACCCAGAAATAAACGCAAGTCTCTATGGTCAATTAATATTTGGCAAAGGGGGTAGAAGCATAAAATGGGGTAAAAATAGCTTCTTCGATAAATGGTGTTGGGAGATCTAGAGAGCTACCTGCAAAAGAATGAAACTCGATCACCAACTTACACCATACACAGAAATAAATTTGAGGTGGATAAAAGACTTAAATATAAGTCATGACACCATAAAAGTCCTAGAGGAGAGCATAGACAGGAAAATCTCAGACATTTCATTCAGCAATATCTTCACCAATATGTCACCTAGAGCAAGGGACATAAAGGGAAGAATAAACTAATGAGAATTCATCAAATTAAAAGCTTCTGTATGGCTAAAGAAAACTGCATTAAAATGAATGAAGAGAGAACCAACAGTATGGGAAAACATATTTGCCAGTGATACCTTGGACCAGGGTTTGATCTCCAAAGTATATAAAGAGCTCATACAACTCCACTCCAGGAAGACAAACAACCCAATTTAAAAAATGGGCAAAGGACCTGTACAGACGCTTCTTCAGGGAGGACATATGGAGGGCCCAGAGACATATGAAAGATGCTCAGCATCATTAACCATCAAAAAGATGCAAATTAAAACCACAATGAAATCCCACTTCACACTGGTCAAAATGGCCATCATAAATAAATCAACAAACAAGTGCTGGCAAGGTTGTGAAGAAAAGGGATCCCTAGTGTATGCACTGTTGGTAGGAATGCATACTGGTGCAGCCACTGTGGAAAATAGTATCAAATTTCTTCAGAAAAGTAAAAATGAATCTGCCTTTTGACCCAGCAATTCCACTGTTAGGATTATATCCTAAGAACCCTGAAACACCAATCCAAAAGAACCTATGCACCCCAATGTTCATAGCAGCACAATTCACAATAGCCAAGTGCTGGAAGAAACCTAAGTGCCCATCAGTAAATGAATGGATCAAAAAACTGTGGTACATTTACACAATGGAATCCTACACAGCAGAAAGAAAGAAGCTCCTACCCTTTGCCACAGTCTGTATGGAACTGGAGAGTATAATGCTAAGTGAAATAAGCCAGGTGGTGAAAGACAAATGCCATATAATCTCACCTAGAAGTGGAACCTAATCAACAAAACAAACAAGCAAGCAAAATACAACCAGACACTGAAATAAGGAACAAACTGACAGTTACCAGAGAGAAAGGGGGAGAGGGATAATAGGGGATGGGCCATCAAGGAACATGTATAAAGGACACATGGACAAAGCCAAAGGGGGTAGGTTTGAAATTGGGAGGAAGGGTTGCATGGGGCAGGGGCATGTGTGGGGTGAAAATGGAGACAACTGTACTTGAGCGACAACAAAAAAAAGAAAAAAAAACTTATTCGAAAAAGTGATGAAAGAAAACTTCCCTAATTTGGTGAAGGAAATAGACATACAAGTCCAGGGAGCACAGAGAGTCCCAAACAGGATGAATGTAAAGAGAATCACACGAAGTCACATTATAATTAAAATGCCAAAGGTTAAAGATAAAGAGAGTATCTTAAAAGCAACAAGAGAAAAGCAGAGAGTTACCTAAAAAGGAGTTCTCATAGGACTATCAGCTGATTTCTCAAAAGAAACTTTGCAGGCAAAAAGGAACTAGCAAGAAGTAGTCAAACTGATGAAAAGCAAGGACCTACAACCTTAATTACTCTCTCCAGCAAAGCTATCATTTAGAATTGAAGGGCGGATAAAATTCTTCCCAGATAAGGTAAAGCTAAAGGAGTTCATCATCACCAAGCCGTTATTATATGAAATGTTAATGGGACTTACTTAAGAAAAAGAAAAATATCACAACTAGAACAGTGAAATGGCAATGCATTCATAAGTATCAACAATTGAAACTAAAAAACAATTTAGGCGAGCAAACAGAACAGAAATGGTACCATAGACTGGAGATCATTTGGAAGGTTATCATTTGGGAGAGGTAAGGGAGAGAATAGATAAAAAAAAATGCATGGATTAAGAAGTACAAGTAGGTAGGTACAGGAAAGGGAGGGGGATGTTAAGAACAGTATAGGAAATGAAGTAGCCAAAGAACTTACATGCATGACCCATGGACCCATGACCCATGGACTAAGGGGGAGAGGAGTTGCCAGAGAGAATGGGGTACTAGTTGGAGGTGGTCAAAGGGGGAAAAATTGGGACAACTGTAATAGCATAATCACTAAAATGTGTTTTTAAAAATAAGATGATTTTAGGGCTTTTTTCAAGGCACTCTTTTTTTCACATTATTTCTTCTTCCACACATAACTTCTCTCCTTTAATTCACTACGTGTTACATGCATTGCTTATGTTTATTTAATTTATAATTATTAATTCTAAAATATATGCTTTATTTTGCTCTAAAAATAAAGTTGACATTTCTTTTTATTTTTATTATGAAAAACTTTACAGATATACAAAAATGCAGATTAATTGAATAAACTCTCATGTACCTATCACCCAGGTTCATTTATATGATATATAATGACATTTTCTCTTGGACCAGAATTTCTAAAAATTGTGTCTACTCCACATTTTCTATTAACTTTCTGAAAAAGTCTGGAGCAGGGATTCCACACTTCATATGATTTTCTAGATTATATTTTAGGGATAGGTTTTTGTCTGTTAATTCAGCTATATTTTCTCTTACTCTTTTAAAAATGTATTTATCATTTTCTCTGTCCTACTTGGATAATACATTGTCACCTTTTTAAAGAAACCAATCAAGCACTTCATCATTTCTTGCATGTCCTTCTCTAGGCTAAGTTGCATTCTCCACTGGGTTTTCTAAGGGTTTTTGGTTATCATATATCAGATTGTGATCAGTAGGCAGAATATCAGAGAACTTGGGATAGACTAGCTTTCTGAAGGGATCAGTCACCAGGTCATATTTGAAATGAGAATGAGAGTAAAGCACCCTTGATGTGCTACCTAATGGTCTCATGAGTCCCCTTTCAAGGTAAAAGGAGGAACAAGCTGGGATTTGGAATCTAATCCTGGTGTCCAGAATCCAAGGGAATGGTGTCAGAAGAAACTACATTACGGGACCAAAGAATGAAGAGAAGGTTCAGAATTTCAGAGAAGAAAACTGTGGGACAAGGTGAGGATAGGTCACTTGGTCATGTTATAAAACAAGAGAAGTCCAAACATATAGTCCAGGGGGATTCTGACCCATCCTGAAGCCATCTTCAGAGAGGAGGTTTGGAGAAGGGGTAATCACCCAGTACTCATGTCCATACACACCCATTGCCCGAACTTGTTCTGCAGTCACACAGAGATGACTCATGACATTGTCCTTTGCTTTAGCCAGAACCCACTCTGTCCTGTCCTCAGTCTCCCCCTCCCACTACCACCTCCCTGATGTGAGCCCCCTAGCCCAGAGCATGGAGCAGGCGGACTCATTTCCATGGATGTCTGGTTGCATGACAGTCTGTGGGTCTCTTGCTTCTTCCCTTCAGAAAGGATCAGTTCTTGGGGAGCTGTATTTGGATCCAGCGTCACATTCACTGTCAATAAAGAAAATCCATTCTGACAATAAGCAATATTTATGGAAGTATTAAAAATAGTAATGTCATGAAATTAATATCTAAACAGGCAAACATTGTTACAGTGACATAAGGTATTTAGAGTGAAAGAACTTTTTAAGACACAGAAAACAGCCATTTCTGTCAATACCCAAGAAGTCTTTTATCACCAGCAAGTGAGTCACCATAGAGTTGCAGATCTCAGTGAAATCTTCATGCCAACAGAATCACAGTGTCTCAGCTCACAGTCTTGAAAGCAAGGATGGATACTCTACTTTTTTTCTTCCTCTCCCTTAACTAGATCACTTGGGAATGTGCACCAGGGGATCAAATTATTGTCTTTTAATCCATTTGCTTCTATTATCACTGTAAACATTGTCACTGATCCTGATTACAGGAATGTAAGTCATAGACTGTCATGTTACATGAGTTATTCAATGTTCAGGGAATGACTGCCTCATGTGACTTCTGAGGGAAGCGCACAGTGGGGTTCCCACTGCAAAGTGTGTTCCAAAGTTTCTGTTTACCTCACTTACCATTTCTACAGCTCCTTCTCTTTATCAGGCCTACAGCCACCAGAAGAAGCAATCCAAAAATAAGCGGTATCATCCATGAAAAGGTCATCTTGGAATCTAAAATGAGAACCCCCAAATCCCATTAAATTATGAAACTAGGAAAATGCCAAGTTAATCCATTGTATCTGAACAACTCCTGACCTGGAGAGGATGAGAACCTGGCCTCAGGGAGGAAGTTGGTCTGTTTCTCCCTGCTCTGTGGGAGCGGAGGAGATAGTTGAAGTTTATGTTAACTTTATTGTTTGCTCCTTGCAGTCAGACACAGTCCACACTCACATACCCAAACACACATACTCACACAGCTACACACACAAACATATTTATACAGTGATCCACACACACATACTCACACTCATGTAGTCACACATACTCATGTAGTCACACCCAGACACTCTCACACTGACATGCACACACACTCACATACACACATATGCACACAGTCACACACATGTACACATGCACAACTCACACTCATACACACACTCACACAAGCACACACACCAAAAATACATACTCACATTCACACACATTTCTCTTTCTTCTCTTTTCCAGTTCTATTACAACAATCACTGGAGAGGGTGGCAAAGGATAAGGTTATCCAGTCTACAGTCGTGAAGGCGGTGGTAAGGACCATTAGTTTTTAATCCAAAAGAAAATCCACCACGAGTAAAACAAAAAGTCTCGGTTGGTCTTCATATTTATTTCCCAAAGCTGAGAGGCACATATGAGTCACCAACCTGAGGAAGAAAAAGTCACCATTTTCTCCTCTCCAAGAAGGGGGTTGCTGACAGAGCAGGTCACGTTCACAGCAGAGCTGTCTGTGACCAACAGAAACGCCTCCACGTGGAAGAGCCCGCGGCTGTCTGGGGTCAGGACCTCTGAAGATGATGGAACTGTCTTTCCTTCCATGTCCCTCCACTGCACACGAGGCTGTGGGAACCACCCTTCTGAGCTGCACCTCAGCTGCATTTGTCCATCCTGTGTTCCCCCCAAGGTGATCTGCGGGGAAGAACCCAGACCTGGGGAAAAGAGATCAAGACACAAAACCTCCAGTCTCTGCAAGTGGCAACTTGGTTGGTGAAGTCACCGAGGAAAGGGAGATTCGGAGGCCTGAGGAGAGAGTGAGGCATATGGAGCAATTACACTCCACTTAGGGATGAGACTAGCTAGAGGGCATTTTGTTTTGTCTTATTGGGTTGTTTTTTCTCTATGGCCTTTTTTTTTTTGTATTTCTAAAATCAAATACATGTATCCCTTAGGGACAGATTAAGGGATACAACAACTTCCAAATCTAATCTTTTTTTCTTCTAAACCTGAGAACAAAATGATGTTGACCAAGGCATAAGTCATATATATGGCCAGGCAGTAAGTGAATTAGGAAATAGTCTCCAGGATGAAAATCTTACATGTGTGTCCAAAGGCAGAAAATGATGGTGTCTATTTAACTTCTCCACATGTGCTCCTGTGGCTATTACCTAAACGTGTTTATTAATTTACACACAAATCAATGAGAGAACCAAGTGGAGCATCCAAGATGTTGGCCTATGTCTTTGATAGCATTTTCTAGCCTTGGAAAATCAACTTGCATTCACAAATACAGACAGTGGCAAAATATGAAAGGGAACAATTTTGTTTTTCCTCTTCCATCCTGCCAATTCTGTAAGTATTTATTATTTTTGTTTATATGTGGATCTAGTTTAGTCTTCAAAAAATCACACTTCCTAGTAACTACATATTTCCCAGAGTTTTAATAACATTCTGTGAAACAGTGAGTCTTACGTAAAGTTATAGAGTGAAATTCTCATTATTTCATGAAATGGGTGGCCACTATGGATATCCTGGGAAGGGTACAAATTCTGTAGCCAAAAATTAAATCTGGTTTATTTGAGCTTGTGGACTTTAAGTATCTATGGCAGTTACTGCACATCAGAGGGTTTAATATAAATTTGATGAATGAATGGACATTAAAAAAATATCAGATGCCAGGAAGATTTTCCAGAACTAACATGTCAAAGCAGTAGAATCCAAAACATGTATCTGGAATCCTTACCTACTACCTTCAGATCCAAACTGCTCTCCTGGTAGACACCGTCTTTTTCGAAAAGGCACCGGTACTGCCCATCATCTGAAGTGCTGGCATTGTGTATGTGCAGGGTCAGTCTTCCCTCGCTGAGAGCATCAGTCACCAACACTGTCCTCCCTCTATATTCTGCCATCTGCTCTTTAGATACGTGGTCCCCATCCACATACACATAAACAGCAGGATAGCGGTGGGATCGGACCCACCTCACCTCCATGCTGTGTGCATTAGCCTTGGGGGACAGGGAACAGGTTAATTGTATGTCTTCCCCCACTCTGACAAGAAGGGGCTGGGAAGGTCCAATCACTTTTAAGGAAGCTGTTAAATAAACAAAGCAGACAAAACACAAGGAAAGACTCAGAATGGAGCAAATACTGTTTGTTATCAGCAAGAACATCTCAAGTGGGATTTACAACCCACCAGAATCCAGAGGGAGCTCAAAGCTCCCAGCTATCCTTTGGGAAGCAATAAATTTGGTGCAGTCAGGACAGGGGCTGTCCTTGCTCAAGGCAAAATCATCTTCTCATGTGTCAGCCTTAAAAAATCAGTAGCAGAACCCTCACCTGCCCCTGACTACAACATATTCAGATTACAGCCCAATAAAGTAATTTTGCAATTAAAATTCTTAGAATAAAATTAATACTTCATCACTTAAAATCTGTATGGCATTAAGCAACTCTTACCAGTGTATGCCTCAGTTTCTTAAACTATAAAACAAATATATCACTACCAAAATCTTAAGGTTGTTCTGGAGTTAAACAAAATAATCTATAGAAAGCTCTTGGATGACCATGTAGTGTGAACACAGGTATGCAGACTGTGAGACCTGAGGGCATTGGAGAAAATCCCACCCTCTGCCTTGATGATGGGGAGGTGACGAAAATGAGTTTCTGTGTATGTTTAGTAATGACATGTGAAGAATTCTTTCCCTGGTTTGATTTTATAATACCTTATAAGTCAGATCCAGCCATCACTTTTTACTTGCCCAAGGTCCCACAAGCATGGGGCTCTAAACACACACCAAGTTCAATGTCCCCAGATGATTTATGAGAAAAAAGATGAAGAAGTGGGGAGGTTGGCAAAGCACAGGATGCAACACACTGATGAATACACAAACAGAGTCTGTTCTTCCCACTGTGGAGAGTGGAGAAATTTGTCTGATGGCTTTCCTGGATCCAACCTCTGTTACACCTCTAGTTCCCCATGGCCATGGGCCATACCCAATTTATTCTATTCTAAATTGAGAGTTATCTTTTTCTACCAAATGGTCAGAATGCTTATACTGATGATCATTTAGAATAAAAATACAGGTATAAATTTGCATATTACCTGAATGGGGGTCAGTAATCAAAGGCAAAAATGACCTCATTATGTAATCATTTAAAATTTGTTAGGTACTTCTCACAGGAAAATTTTCTGTCAGCACAATTCTAATTTTCAGATTATTTCCTTCCATTCTACCTAAAATTTCACTTCCAATTATTTCTAGCATTTGGTTTGTTTTCTCCTTCAATTTTACCTAAAACAATACTACCTGCATTCCATATGTATCTGTCAAAATCTAAAAATGAATGTAAGAGACAGAAAATGAACAAATAATTACTAGAAGTAGTAAGGTGAACACATTGTAAGGTATAAAAGTGTCGAATCACTGTATTGTACACCTGAAACTAATATAACCAGTATAAGATGGTATACCAACTATGCTTTGTAATTTTTAAAAGAAAGAATAATCTAGGGTTTAGTTTGCTGCCATTTCTCCATCCATGTGTCTTACAGTAAATTACTTGGTAAAACAGACTGTTTCCTCATCTCTGTTACCCATGCAGGATTGCTCTCCCTGTTCATTGTCCATGGTGTGTACCAAACCCATTACCCTGCCAGGCACAGGTCAGTTAAGAGCTACAATAGATTTTGATAGAAACTAGAGAAAGCAAAATAAATTTTTGGAGATTTAGTTAACTAGGTGTGTTCTAGACATATGAAACTCCTGTTTTTCCAGAATTCAAGAGAAAATAAAGTTTAAAGTACTGGGGAAAGTCCTACAGCCCTCTTTGTTAATAACTGATATTCTACTAGAACAAGAGCTCTTTGAGAACAGCCCTACATAATCTTTTCTGTAGGGTTTTGTACACAGAGTCACACACAGTTTGTGCTCACATCTGAGTATTGGATGTACGCTCCTGAAATGCCTCCTGAACATCCAGTGGAAAGTTTAATCTTTTCTGGACTGCGAAGTATACTGACCTATGTACTAATTCCTTGAAACCTGATAATTTCATCATCATAATATATAATCCTTATCCAATCAGTATATTTGATTAAGTGGGCTATCTCATTCCCCAAGCTAAATTGTACTATACTATATTATATTATACTATACTATATTATGTTGTGTTATGTTATATCATGCCAACACTTTTAGAATCTGACACATTAAAGATTAAATTCAATGTGTTCATTTTAAAGATGAGAAAAATAGGGCCCAATGCTTTAGTTAAATCACACATAAAACATTAAGAACTTGCACTGGTAAGTCAGACATAGATTAGAAGGCAAATATCACAATTTCTTGGTGTTTTTTGGCAAGATATATATGTCTCTAAGATTGTTTCCCAACAGTAAAATGAGGATAAATCTATTAACCTTTGTAATTATCATAAGAAAAAATTCCTGTAAAGCACTGAGCATGGTGCTTGACATTAATATTTCAAATAACTAGTCATTATTTTTCTAAACCAACAACATTTTTTACCAGAGCAGGGACAGGGATTTCAGTCTCAGGACTTCCAGAGAGAGCTCAGTTTGCCTGCAGCCCTTTGCCTCTGAGCTCTCATTCCAGAGAGAAACACAGAGGAGGCTGAGAAGCTCCTGCCTCCTCAGTCAGCAGCACACCCTCAGAGCACCCGAGGGCACAGCCCTCTGACCCCCAGCTGACAGGGGGCTTAGGGAAGCTCCCTCTACACATCTAGTTTTAGTCTCAGAAGATGAGCACAGCCTAGGAACAACATGCCACTGGGCTGTATTTTGTGTGCTGGGGCTCCAGTGAACATGTCAGGTTGGTTCAGATAACTCAGAGGAGTGACTCTTCACCTGCAATCTTTCTGAAGGACAGAAGCATGTGCCAGCCTGCCCGAACACTGGCTTGGGTGTCTGATCTGTAACTAACCAGCTTTGCTGGTTAAGATTTCTGTCTGATAATGAGCAGACGTTTCCCAGGCAGAAAGGGATCCAACTTGGAAGGGAAGGCTCACAGGTGTGCAGCTCTCCTCAGATTGTGGAGTTACCTTTGAACTTCCTGAGAGCCGTTCTTTTATTTTTATGGCCCAATAGGGTCAAAAGTGTCACATCAGATTCTGGAAGGTATTGATTGAGGAGTGTTTACCACCCTAATTTTCCTCAAATTAGGAAAGGAAGAGTACTTAAGGTCATCTAAAGTACACACAGGTGCACATACACACACACTCCTGTAACAGGTAACTTGAGGGACAGCAGGGTGTTGGTGGAAGAGAAAATAAGTGATCTGCATGTGGGCAGGGTGCAGGCTGGTGGTCATGGGCTGGGAGAAAAGCTCACAGAAAGAAGGAAGATGGAGAGGAGGTGAAGGAGAAACCGAAAGAGGTTCAAATATGAACTGGTTATTTTTTAAACCATTTATCATAGGTACAGTAAAATACCTGCAGTCCAACTACTAAGAAAAAGAGAAAAACTAAAACAAACAATCAAAAACAGAAAATCGTCAGCCCAGGCAGCACAGGGTCCTAGGCTGATCTGGGAAAGCATCCTCCCAACAGTGAGGAGGTTAGAGCACCTGGGTGAGGAGCAGGTGCAGAAACCACAGCAGAGCCAGGGTGTGGAGGTGGTGGCCTCCAACTGTCATGATGACACTGCCCTCACTCACACTAGCGACTGCCCCACCAGCTGTCCTGTGTCATCTCTACACACTCCCAAGACGGCCCCTCTTCCTCCTGCCCAACAAGCAGAGATCGTGTCTCTGCCCCTTGCAAGTGTCCATCTGAGGCTCATTTGGGTTCCTATAAACACTGAAACTGACAGGTGAAAGAGCACAAATGTGCCTAAAGGAGGCTGTGGAGACCTGCACTTTGCCAGTCCCCTCTGGTACTAACTGAAGGTGGGACTTGGGAGAGTCATGCCTCAAGTTCTCATGGGGATCACATGGTGCCTCAGCAGCTGAGCCGCTTTGCCTGGGAGCCTGTCTCCCTCCAGGAAGCACAGAGGCTGACCCACCTCTGTGCAGCAGGGCTACTTACCGAGCTCATTCTGGAGTTTCTCTGGAAAAAGAATGAGAATGACATATTAGGTAAGCAATTTGTTCTAAGGGAAAGAAGTAAAATATCTCACAAAAATAAAAGCAAGTCTTCTTTTTTATTGGAAATCTGGACAAATAAAAAAGAAATTAAACATAGAAAAATATTCTTTCCCACCTGGTGGTTCAGCTGTTTTTCCTTTTCCCTGCACAACAAAAATGCTCTCAGTTCTACCACCTCATAATACATATTCTTTTCATAAATGTATGGAAAGTATAAAATACATGGACATTGAGAATTATCACCTATAATTCCAAACTGAGAAATGAGACATGTATGTGTGTGGCTCATTTTAACATTAACATACAACATTTTCTTCAATTTTTTGATATCCATTTATAATAACTATTGTCTTATATCCTTATATCTAAATGTCCATGGTGTCAAAAAAAAAGAATCTTTACCTAATTGGAAATGTCTTTTTATACATAGATAGATAGTTATAATCTTTATCACTAAATACTTCATCATGAGGATTTTTCAAATATTAAAATTTTTTTGAAAATACATTTTTCATCAATGCTATAATAATAGTAACATAAAACACTTAATACTCCACTGTTGTATTGGATTGTTTTAGCTTTTGATTTTGTTGCTATTTATCAATGAAGCCATAATTAGGATCCTATTCTGTAAATAGTTGTCTCCATCTTTGATTTTCTTTATGTGATAGCTTCCCACAAGTAGTCAGTACAATACCACATAAGAAAGCATTTCAGTTGAAAGAATGTAGTGTATGTATGTATGTATTTTTGTTTTTTGAAACAACATGGTTTATTATCTCTGAAGTCACAGATGTTATTTACATGATGAGAACAGTTGTTATTTAGTAATTATATCCCCAGCTGTAAAGTTTCCCAGATCCGACTTGGGACAAATTAAACTTGAGTGTGTTCAAACATGTTTTTTCAGTGTTCTCGAATGGAAGGCAGATTGAGGGCTCCCAGTTAATTCCTCAAAAGCTATTCTCCTCATATATTTGTGGAATAGGAGCTACTATAAAGGACACATGGACGAAACCAAGGGGAAGGGTGGAAGCAAGGGAAAGAGGTAGGTTGGGGGGAGGGGTGGGGAGAAAATACAGACAACTGTAATTGAACAACAATAAAATAATTTACATAAAAATAATAAAATGTAAATTAAAAAATTCATGGAACTGGGACAATAGTAGTCATGTAATAAGCTGTACTTGCATTTCTTCGGTACAACATATTTCTCTGTACGAAAGCATACGTGGCTGAATAGACCGAGCAAAAGACTCATTTCTTTTTTTTAATACAGTAAATGATATGATTTTATTTTTGTAAAAACTCTTTTTTTCATTTTTTATTGATGTTCAAGTATAGTTGTATCCACTCTCCCCCCCACCACTTCCCCCCCACCCCACTGCCCCCCCACCTCCCACCCTCAATCCCAATCCCCTTTGGCTTTGTCCATGGGTCCTTTATACATGTTCACTGATGACCCTTCCCCTCCCCCATCCCCTCTGGTTGCTGTCAGTTTGTTCTTTATTTCAGTGTCTCTGGTTGTATTTTGCTTGCTTATTTGCTTTGTTGATTAGGTTCTACTTATAAGTGTGATCATATGGTATTTGTCTGTCAATGCCTAATTTCACTTAAAATAATGCTCTTTGGTTACATCCATGCTGTCATGAAGGGTAGGAGCTCCTCTTTCTTTCTGCTGTGCAGTATTCCATTGTGTAAATGTACCATAGTTTTTTGATCCACTCATTTACTGATGGGCACTTAGGTTTCTTCTAGCACTTGGCTATTGTAAATTGTGCTGCTATGAGCATTGGGGTGCATAGGTCATTTTGAATTGGTGTTTTGGGATTCTTAGGGTATAATCCCAACAGTGGAATTGCTGGGTCAAAAGGTAATTCCATTTTTAGTTTTTAGAGGAAATTTCATACTGTTTTCCACAGTGGCTGCACCAGTTTGCATTCCCACCAACAGTGCACTAAGGTTCCCTTTTCTCTACAACCTCTCCAGCACTTGTTTGTTTATTTGTTTGTTTATGATGGCCATTCTGACAAGTGTGTAGTGGGATCTCATTGTGGTCTTAATTTTCATCTCTTTGATGGCTAGTGATGCTGAGCATCCTTTCATATGTCTCTGAGCCCTCTGTATGTCCTCCTTGGAGAAGTGTCTGTTCAGGTCTTTTGCCCATTTTTTAATTGCATTGTTTGAAAGAATGTAGTTTTATTTCCTTTACAATGTCATGCACATTTGTGAGTAAAGAAGATCTTGAACTTGGAAATAATTACAATACTATTATCAATAGCTATTTAGTCAAAATACAGTGTATATATTTTCAGTCATAAATGTTTTATAGTTTTTAATACACAGTACTAAATGTTAGATAATTTTCTTGGTTAAGAAAATATTAGGTGTTATGGGACTGTCCCTGGACCCCTCCTGCTAATCTGAGCATCTTGGTCCTACAGGGAGAGCACTGACCTGGGATGGAGATGACTGAGCCCTTCTCCTCAGCGAGGACAGGGTTGTGGATGAAGCAGGACACGGTTTCTGCAGAGGCATTCCTGACCACGAGCATGTCTTCCACGTAGAACAAGCCATCTTCATCTTGGATGTGATACTCAGAGAAAGTTAGCAGCTTCTCTCCCTTCATGTCTTCCCAATAAACCTGGGGCTCTGGGAACCAGCCTTCTGCAGTGCAGACAAGCTGGATTTCACCTTCCTCAGAGCCCACCATGTGGATGTGAGGGGCAGACCCCAGACCTGTAGAGGAAGGACATAGCCCTGGGGTTCAGAGCCTGCGGAGGCACACATCATAGAGCCTGAGATCCCAGTGCCATTGTTCCGAGGAGAGAGGAGAGGTTGAGGGATCTGGGGAGCAAAGACCATGCCAAGTCTTCTTTCCATTCAAATTGGAGCTCCCATACACTGCAATTGTTCCTGAGTCTGGATATTTACATTTTAGCATATGAGCAATATTTTTCTTTGGATCCAGACAGGAGAATAAGGAAAAAGGACATTTGACATGTGGCTTATGTCTCTAGTACTGTAAACAAAGATGTGTTATAATTTACTCATGAACCCACACATGCCACAAACTCTGCCTTTTTCATCTTAATATTATTGTGTAAGGCACTTTGCCTGGCATTTTGAATGATATCTTGACTCCAGTTTAAATAGAATATTTAGTACAAAGTCAGACATCACTTCCATGGGGACTATTCTTTCCATTCTCTTTGTCGGTGGTTGTGATCTTGGGATGCTACTGGATACCTGAGGAGTGTAAAATGAGAAGGTCCATGAGGAGTTCCTGTATCTAAATATTCCACTCCGTGGAAAAATGTTTTTGAGAAACTCTAGTTTTTATATAATGTTCTTTCTCATCAACACAACTCTCAAACCTAAACAAAGGAGGCTATATTTTCCCTAAGTGGTAATTCTGTCTCTATGGCTCCTTCCACGAGAGCCTTGGAAAACGTGTGGCTTATTTTCAAATGTCCCTGACAGTGGAATGCCTTAGTATGTGCCCCACCCCCTTCGCTCCAAGTCTCAGGAACATATGGATCCCTTCTTCCATCTTAAGTCATCTTGAACATAATAACAACAGTTTAAGTGTGTTTTTAAGTATTAGGAAATAGCTTCATGGAGAAGTAAAAAGGAAGCAGTAGCAGCACGATTCTGCTTTGTCTCCACAGAACTGTCTGCCTGATAAGGTAAATGGATTCATCTGATTTTCTCTTCAGCGTGTGGAGGAGTTATTCCTGCCAGGAAACCCTTTGATCATTTATACTTTTCAGATATTTGTTCTTATTTAAGACACATCCTTTCTTCAAGGATCCCTTTCTCACTGACTCCTTCCTGCTTTGCTGATACAAAACCACATGCAGAACCTGACATTCACAGTGAGTCCCCAACTCATTGAACATGGTATATGATAATCTCCATAAAAGCACAAAGTTCCTAACCACTTCAGTCCCATGCCTAGCTTTCTAACTGGAGGAATTATATAAGAAACAAAGTGTTCACATCTCAGGTACTGCTCATTTGATGTTGGGTAGAGAACAACCAATTCCATCGCAATACGGATGCTGGGCAGTCAGCTAGACTCACTCAGTAATGGACTTGCCCTTAAACATCAGCCTATGTGGCACAATTCATATCTCAGCAAAATTGCTGATGACATGTTCATGGATTTAAAATAATTGTCAAGAATAGTCAAAACCATGTAAGTTAAATTTAGGAATATTGCTTATGTGAGCTTTAGAGATTTCAGAACTACTTGCTCTCAGGTGAATCAGGCTGGACAACTGGGCATTAGGAATTGTCTTGATGATTAAAGGGAGTTCTTTAACTGGCAATAAACATCACAAATTAATAGACTTCTCCCTCCAACACCCCATGTCTTTTCCCAGATATTCACCTGCTACTTTGAGCAGCAAACTGGTTTCTCCATGATAGTTTTCCTCTTGGAAATGGCACCAGTATTGCCCATCATCAGATGGTCGGATACTGTGCATCTTCAGAGCCACCGTTCCTTCAGCAAAGTCATCCTCTACCCACTGCACTCGGCTCCTGTGGTCCTCTGTCTGCATCTCAGTCACCTCAGCTCCGACCCGATGTGCTATTTGTACGCTGGGCTCCAAACGGTACCACCTCACCTCCATGTGCACTGCAGTCCTCTTGGGGAGGAGCTGACATGTTAGTAGGGCATCTTCCCCTACCCTGGCCACGATGGGTTGGGCAGGACCAATCACTCTAAAGTCATCTACAAAACAGTGAAAAGGAGGAACCAGGAAAGGCCAACTGGAAGATTAACAAGCTTGCTTTGGATGGCCCAACCTGGTGACTCGCATATTTGGCTGTTACAGAGATGGTTTTCTGTACTGAAAATAACACACAGCTTAAAAATGTGAGTGCCTGTGCCAAATCTGTCACCAGCTGTGGTTCTGGGGGCAAATGCATTATTTTCAGTGAGATTGGAGATTTTGAATGTGCAGAACTGTCTGCAATCTCAATTTCTTCATCTTTAAGATACTAAAACTATCATTTCTGGGCTGTTTTTATTCTCAGATTAATGTGTAAACCCATGTTTTAATTGGGAGCTTCATTAATGATTTATTTTATATTTTATAGTGATTTATTTTAGTGATTTCTCTTTATATTGTTAATGACTGACACTGCAATTACTTTCTTACAATTTAGGCAATACATTTATTCAATAGGTTTTTCAACTTTTCAGGGTTGCTCTTGCTCTCCCTTCTTTTTTTTGGCCTGGAGTAGGCAGGACTCCTGTCACTGGGGCCATTGTACAAGGCAGGTTTTACAGGGACAATTTCTGGCAGATTAAGGGAAATGATTTGTCTAGGGAGTTTGAGCCTTTCAATCAGATATTGAGTCTTGTCTGACTTCTTCATTATTATCTGCAAATTGAAAATATATTTAATAATTCTGTTTGTTGTTATGTTTAATAATTTTATATGCCATGTATAGTATGTCTTTTTGAGCCTAACATGCTGTAAGGATTTTGTGGAGATCCAGTCCTCCTCAGAAAGAACCTCACCTTGCTTAGTTGTTGTTCAATATCAAGAGATGCTGTTCAAAAATTTGCTGTAGAACTCAAGTGGAGTCTGCTTCCGTTCTTCACTGATGGAACCTGAATATGGAGCTAGAACTGGTCGTACCATCTGGCTGACTGCTTTCACAGGTGAAGGAAATGCACTCCCCAGAGGGGAGGGAGCCACACCCCATCACATACTTCCTGATGCGCCCTGTCTTGAACCCGAGCCTTCTGATGTCCTTTCCTGTGTGTTTCCCACTGTGACACGCTGCATTTGGTGGTGTTGGGGGGCTCAGATATTACCCACTGACACTGAATTTTCATAATCCTTTTTCAAAGTACAATATTTTGACCAACAAAATTCAGCTACTAAGATTTCCAAACCCATTTACTGGAAGTCTCTCCTTCTAGTGTTTTATTTCCAAGTGTTTTATGCTATTCAATTTATGATATAAAGCATTTTTGTAGCCTCCAAAGTGCTGTCCTGCACAGAAGCTAGAGAATTAATGAATGCTCTAACACGTTCCAGGTGGATTCAAGTGTTTCCCATGTACAGACTCATTTAATCTCACAGCTCACGCTAACCTATGAGATGTAGGTATGTTGTTATTTTTATTATAAAGATGAGGACACTAAAGCAGAAGTTACTCAGGCAACTGTCCAAAGGTAATGCAGCTGGAAGTGGAGGGCCTCTTTTTGGAATACAGATGTTTTAGCTCCTAGTCCCCACTCTTAAGAGTATACTACCCCTTTTGAATTAAACCCCTGCACCCAGACTGGGTCTCCAGGACATTTGGGTTTAGTGTGGAGCAGGGGAGGGCATCCTACCTGGCTGCTTCATGGTGAGCAGTATGAAGAAGAAGGAGGCCACTGCACCAGACAGGCTGTATCCTGGAAAGTCCACCATCCTCCCTGGAGCAAACGCAAGAGAAAATGTGGCCATACTTGAGTGAGGCTGCAATACTGACATACTGACTGCACATTCTGTGGCTCCCAGTGATGATGTAGTCATAACGAGGAATCAACATCAACCCCTCCACAAGCAAACAGTAAAATCGGCTTGGCTCCATTTCTCATGTCATTGATCATTTCTGACCCCTTAGCCAATGTGTAGCCCTTTAAGCTATGTTTAGACCTGAAGGAAGATTTCTGATAGAAACAAAAGCTTTCCCGGGCTAAAGGGACAATGATATTTACATTTTTTAAAAATCTCGTTAGTTTCATCTATTCGGAGCATGAAGACATTATAAACCAGGGGTCAAATATTTTTTTCTCAATCTCCTACCAGCCCCTCATTCAAATTCATCACTGGAGCTTCCTAGATGCAGAGGAAGGAACAGGAAGGCTCTGACCCCTATGCTGCAGCCAGGAAGCCCTCCTCAGTGGGAGGAAGCCAGGGGCAAAGGGGCACCTTGGAAAGGAAGGAAAGAATAATGGAAATGGTGCTGCACAAAGATATGGCCAAGGAAGCAACCCTAAATGGCCTTTCAGGATTGTCTTGAAGACACATAGGAATAAATAAAAGAAATAGCCCAACCGGCAGAGATTGGCAAACCCAATAGGCCCACTGTGCCTGCATTGCAGAAATACTTTTTCACAGCTGAAATGTTTTAAAGCTTCCAGGACAAAAACAGAGCACTAGCTTTTGTTTGGAAACTAAAGAGTTCAGAATGAAAAAGTCTAAGACTTACTCTATCTGGTTTGTGAAGTATCTAATTGACAGAAAGATTTGCTTCACATCAGTAAGTCATTCGCTACTTCTCTTTCCTCAGAAACTAACGCTAGCAAGATTTTACAGAGCAGGGAAATCAACAGTCACCTGAATCTCGGGTTTTAGGAGATTATTTTACTCTATTATGAATCTGTTTTCTTTTTTAATGATGCATACTGTCATCAAAATATCTCTAAGGAAAATGAGATTAGCCCAGTCATGATGCCTAGATCTGAAAGAGTACAAAAATATTTGTATGAAAATGAGACTGCCATTTATTGCCACATATCCGTCACTTCCTCTGAGACTGAAGGAAATTGCTGATGCCTCCTTGACACCCGTGAGATAAGCAGAAACATTCTGTTCCACTGAGTAAGAGCAAAGAGAGGCCACAAAGCCCAGGCCAAGAACCATGGCTGTTCGTGTGAACTAAGGACCCTACTTGCTACAAACCAGTTTATAGGTCTGTGTAGCTTTAGGTCTTTTACATTAAAGCAGCAGGGAAACCTACAAATGCATTCTAGCAAAAAATTGTCCAAATCAATGAGGCTTTAAAGAAAGTTGTGAAAACACATCTTAACTGTTACTGGTGCTGACAGACATTTGTGCACGAGTGTAAAGGGGGAGAAACACTGCCTGGCCCAGGGTTCCCGATGGGGAAGGGGGCGGTTTTGACCTTGGAGGACACCTGGCAATGTCTGCAGATGGTTTTGGTGGTCACACTGGGGGAGGAAACATTAACAGGTGGTAGCTGGGATGTTGCTCGCCATCCCACGAAGCACGGCAGCTGGGGCAGCCCGAAACATCCGCAGTGCTGAGAAAAACACTGCCCTTGATCACCTGTCCATGTGCTGAAAGTCTTTGGCACATTTTTATACATAAATAACTGGACTTAAGTTGTAACTTTAAATCATAACAGTTTAATTGTAAGCTTTTTGGCATCTCTATTTTACCATTTGAATGTAGGCTATGAATCTTCCAAAACTGCCACTGAGGTTAAATGTGGTCAACCTTACTATTGTCAGGAGACATGATCTAACGTGTATATGTGCCACCAAATTTGGAAAAGCCACGTTTTGTTTAACTTTCTGAGTGAAGTACAAGTGTTAAGCTGCCATGATAAGTGTTGGCTTGTACTTAGGCATTAGGTGAATCACAATTCTGAATTCCAAGGTCTCCTCATATTCATGTGAAAGCAAATTGCAAATGACCATGTCAGGTGCTGTTAGAGGGGTTTTTTGTAAAACAAAAAAAGCAAACCTCAAAACTTAAATTCTTAAAATGCTAAGTAACCACAGTAATTAACAGGTGAGGATTAAATCAGTTCACAAAGTTTGAAGTTTATGTATCTATTTAACTTAAAACATATATACAGATCATTACATGTTAAAATAACACATTTTTATAGTGAGAAAGCAAAGTAAAATAAGAGTTCTCAGAGACAATGTGTTTCCTTCCATGTCCTGAGAATCTTCTCTCTGATGGAGATGATTATTCCTGACATTTTTCCAGCTGTATCATCACCATGCGACAGACAAGGCCACTGAGGCTCAGAGACACAAACACACATCATGTAGGAAAATGGTCAGTGTGATTCTGGGTTTCTAAGTGTTGGTCAAGTGCCCCCCTCACTTGCTTCACAGCAATATCATGAGACTCACATAAGCGCTTTGAAAAATCTGAAGGGAGTAGTAGCACAGAACACAAGCGGGAGGCATTCCAACAGTGACAGTCTCCCAGCCGGATGCACGCTCTCTACACGTCCTACTTCCTCATCTTCCTCGACTTCCACGCCTTGCCCTGGTGTCCTCCACTGGGACTCTGCAAACCACTCACCTGTCTCCCTCTGTCCTTCAGGTGGAAACTGGGCTGGTGGTGTTCTCCTCACTGGAGTTCAGGTGCACCCTTCATCCACTTAGCTGGTGTCCAAAGGCTGGAGTGAGAGCTCTGGGAGGCCAGAGGGGGTGCAGGTGGCCCTGGTGAGGGAAGCTTCCAGTGAGGGAGAGTGTGTGCTGCTGTGCCCACACTGAAGGGAGAGCTAAGACCCCAAGGCTGGTTCTGAAAATCAAATTCTAATCAGAATAACGTGTTCCTCCCACTGGCCGCAATCCTCTGAAAAGGGAAACTCAGACAACAAGTGGACTTTGACTGAGTTTAGTTATGACTTCTTTGAACCTGCAGTGACATTAGCACTCCTCACCCTTCCCCAGAACCAGGACATCAGCTGGTCCCATGTGACACAGGCTCTGCACCATGCCCATCAGGTCCTCACACTGCACTCTCTGCAGGTGGTCTGCCTCCCCCTTCCCTCTGCCTGCCAGGCGGCAAGGATCCCCCACCTGGGGCCAAGTCACCAGAATACGGTGCCCATAGGGCTTAGAGTTGGAAACAAGATGGAATAGCAATGATCCCACCTCTCATTTTACTGATGGGAGAACAGAGGCCCAGGGAAGGGAATTAACCTTCTCCAGCACCACAGCCCCAGGCCAAGGTCCCTTGTTTGCTAGTTTATTGCTTTTTACTTGGGTTCTTTATCTCCCTTTGCTGAATAATAAAGAGTTTAATTACCCTCAGACATTGACAAAGAAATTTAATAAACCTCTCAACACAGTGTTTGGGCACAAAATTATAATGATAGAGTTTGTAGGCACATTTTATGTATGTGGTTTGTTTAGGTTAGATTTTTCCTCAAATTCTCCAAGTCAGTTTTTCTTGAATCACAGTGCAAGTGGCCCTGGGGTTAGTAGGTGTATTCCAAGGGATTCAAGAGTTCCCAAAATAATTTTTAATTTAATTTTAGATGTCCATTTAACTGTAAATTATAAGAATATGTAACATGATGATGTGATTGAAAGTTTTCCCCTGAAGTTTCTTTTCCTTCCCTGTTATGATCAGCCCGTATTTTGTCACCTGACTTGAGGTTGCTACTTTTTTTTTCAATTACAGTTGACATGTAATATTATTTTCTGTTAGTTTCAGGTGCATAGCTTAGTGGTTAGACATTTATATAATTTACACAGTGATTCCCCTGATATTTCCAGTACCCACCTGGCACCACACAGTTAATACAATATTACTGACTATATTCCCTGTGCTGTGCTTTACCTCCCCATGATGATTCTGTAACTACCAATCTGTACTTCTCAATCCCTTCATCATCCAGCCCCCCAACTCTCCTCCCCTCTGATACCCATCAGTTTGTTCTTTGTATGTGAGTCTGTTTCTGTTTTGTTTATTTATTTTGTTCTTTAGATTTCACACAGAAGTGAAATCATATGCATTTACCTTTCTTTGTCTGACTTATTTCCTTAGAATGATACCTTCTAGGTCAATCCCTGCTGTAGGAAATGCTATTTCATTCTTTTTTAGAGGTTTCTTTTCTTTTCTTTTCTTTTTTTTAACAGTTTGAAGGACCTTTATTAAAACCAGCATTCAAATAGTATCTCAAGGGTGAAATTTTGTTTCAGCAAAACCAATTTAAAAATTTTAAAATTAATCTTGTTAAAGGGGATAATATCCCTTTCTCCCACTTTATCTGCTATAGTTCATTACACCAAATAAACAAGGCAGACATTGTTTGATCATCTGCACTGAAATAAATAAATAAGAAGGAAAACTGCATTTTCATAAGTGCCAAATATCAGAAACCACATGAAATCAGAGTGTAATTATAGGAAGCTGCTATTCTTTTTTTAATGTACTTTACTGATTATGCTATTACAGTTGTCCCAATTTCCCCTTTTGCCCCCTCCACCAGGTACCCTCCAACCCACCCTGCAATACCCCCTAAGTTCATGGCCATGGGTCATGCATACAAGTTTTTTGGCTACTCCATTTCCTATAATGTTCTTAACATCTGCATATCTATTCTGTACCTACAGGTTCTTACTTTTTAATCCCTGTACCTTTTCCCCTATTCTCTCCCTTCACTTTCCCAGTTGATAATCCTTCAAATGATCTCCATATCTATGATTCTGTTTCTGTTCTGTTTGTTTGCTTAGTTTATTTTTGCTTTTTAGATTCATTCAGCTGTTAATTGTTGTGAATTTATTGCCATTTTAATGTTCATAGTTTTTATTTTTTTCTTACATAAGTCCCTTTACCATATCATGTAATAATTAATGGCTTAGTGATGATGAATTCCTTTAGCCTTACCTTCTCTGGGAAGAACTTTATTTGCCCCTCCATTCCAAATGATAGCTTTGCTGGATAGAATAATCTACTTGTTTTTAATAATCTTTGTTTTTCATCATTTTGAATTCTCCTTGCCAGTCCCTTCTAGCCTGCAAAGTTTTTTTTTAGAAGTCAGCTAACACTCTTATGGGAACTCCTTTGTAGGTAATTTTCTGCTTTTCTCTTCCTGCGTTTAAGATTGTCTCTTTATCTTTAACCTTTGGCACTTTACTTACGATGTGTCCTGGTATGGTCCTCTTTACTTCCATCTTGTTTGGGACTCTCTGTGCTTCCTGGACTTGGATGTCTATTTCCTTCACCAAATTAGGGAAGTTTTCCTTCATTATTTTTTCAAATAAGTTTTCAGTTTCTTGCTCTTTATCATCTCCTTCCAGCAACCTTATGATTCAAATGTTGGTGCTTTTGAAGTTGTCCCAGAGGCTCCTTACCCTATCCTTGTTTTCCTGGATTCTTTTTTCTTCTTGCTCCTCTGATTGAATGTTTTTTTCTTCCTTGTGTTACAAATCATTGATTTATTTCTCAGCTTCATCCACTCCACTGTTGATTCCCTATAAATTTTTCTTTATTTCACTTAGTGTAACCTTCATTTCTGCCTGGGTCTTTTTTATGCTGTTGAAGTACCCAGTGAGATCCTTGAGCATCCTAATAACCAGTACTTGAACTCTGTATCTGACAGATTGCTTTTCTCCATTTTGTTTAGTTCTTTTCCTGGAGTTTTCTTTTGTTCTTTCATTTAGGCCATATTTATTTCTCCTAATTTTGACAGCCTCCCTGTGTTTGTTTCTGTGTATTGGTAGAGCTGCTTTGACTCCCTGTCTTAGTAGCATGGTCTATGGTAAAATAGTGCACCCATAAGTTGGATGGGGCAGAGCCTTAGGTAATGGCCAGGGCAGGACAACCCATGTGAACCAAGTTGATGGAGTCGCAGGTATGTTGCCACCATTCTGTGGCTCTGTGTGAGGGAGGGCTCATAAAATGGACAATGGCCATAGCCTGGCCTCTGGAGTTTTTTCCAAGAGGAAGTTGCCCCCCCTCATACTTGCCCTGATGCCAGACACTTCAGCTTCTCTCCGTATGCCACTGGTGCCCTTCCAGTTGCTTCCCCAGTGCTGGAGCCCAGAGGAAATGAGTCTGTATAAGTCCTAAGTCCGTTTCAGGTCCTTTAAGAGGAGATACCTGAGAACCCCGCAGTTTCTTCCACCACCCAAACCCTCACTGGTTTTTACAGGCACAAGTCATGAGAACTTACCATCCTGGCAGTGGAACACTGGGCTGAGTGGTATGGTGTGGGGCTGGGGTTCATCAGTCTGAGGTATCCCTCCCATTTTTATCCACCACATGTGGATGTGGGACTGCCCAGTCCGAATGTCCATCCCTCCTACCCCTCTCAAAGAATGCGACTTATTTAATTCCTTAGTTATTGGACTTCCATACAGCTTGGATTTCTGATTATTCTGAGTGGCAGTTGTTTTGTAGTTTAATTGTACTTAATTTTTGTTGTGGTTGTGCAAAGAGGCGAGCTGTGTTCACCTACACCTCCATCTTGATGGAGCTCTAGAGTCCCAGTTGCTATTCTTAATGTAAGAATTTCCCCTCTATTTTTCAGTGTAGATAAAGACCCTCCCCACTGTGGAGGGTGAGATGGGGGTTTGAAGAGGAAAGACAAAAATGTTGGTGAGTCTCTTCACCCTGTCTCTCTCTCAGTCAGAGTAGAGAGGGCAGGCCTCCCTTCACCTCTGTTTCTGAAATGGCAGCGGTACCCACATACTTCTTGCTCCACAACTGTGCTGAAGAGCAGCAGCAAAGGGAAAAGTCACCTGGACAAGAAGAGGCAGGCCCGGGAAGGTGCAAATACTGGAATGCAAGTTTGCTGCCTAAATGCTGGCAGGAAATGATACAGCAAGAGGAGAGAGATTTATGGAAGGACAGTGACCCCCAGGGGGCACTGTGTGACCACGACACGCAGTGGGAGCCAATGCTGGGAATGAGAGATTTACGCACCAACTATACACCACTTCCTACTTCGGGACTTAGAAATAACCCTGGGGAAGAGCTTATTTTAAATTATTTATTGTTGTGAAAGCCATTGAATTTATCTGAAAATAGCTAAATTAACTTCTCTGCTGTAAGACATTATAGTGCTTGACCTAAAAATTTGGGGCAGTAATAGAAAAGTGCAGAACTTTTCACATCCAAATTTGTGGAAATATTGTAGCCACTGCACATATTCCGTATTATCTGGATGACATACAGTGGAGGAACTCTTTCTGGAGTCTCATCTTTGCCTTTTGTTATGGTCACTCCATTAGCACTAGTAGAGTCATTCATCAACATGGCCACCAGAGGGCAGCAGAGACACATCACTGTCAGGACTTCAAGGGCTTTTTGTGATTCACAAATGTTTCCTCCTCCAAATCTGTTCTTGAGTGACCCACATTTATACTCCCTCAGCCAGTAAATGACAAAAAGGAGCCCTGAGCTTAGAATGCTGAGATTTTAATTCTACTTTTGCTGTAAAATTGGACAAGGTTTACTTTGGATAAATCTGTTAATTTCTGGGGCTTCAATTTTCTTAGCTTCAAAATGGCAATTCTATTCAGCTGTGAAAAGGAAGTAAATCTTAGTTTTTGTGACAATATGGATGGACTTTGACAGTATTATGCTAAATTAAATCAGTCAATCAAAGAAAGACAAATACCATATGATTTCACCTATATGTTGAATCTAATGAACAAAATAAACAGAAGACAGACTTGGGGATACAGAGATCAGCAGGGAGGGGGTTAGGGTTTGGATGAGAAAGGGGAGGGATTATTTTAAAAAGGAAAGAGAGAGAAAGAAGCAAAGAGAGAGAGAGGGAGGAAAGAACAGGGAAGGAGGAAGAGGGAGGGAGGAATGACAAGAAAAAAGGAAAGAAAGAAAGAAAAGGAGAAAGGAATGAAGACAGACTCATGGACA